AGTCACTGGGACCAGAGGTGAATTAAACCTTGCAACAAACTCAATAAAAAAAAAAGTGACAACCAAAGCTGCAGCATTCAGGAGCTTTTCACACAGTTGGCTCAATGTGCCATAAACAGTAGAGCTCCCAACCCCCTTAACCCCCTGAGTGATTCACCTGGGTTGTGCTTAGACCTTGGCTCTGGCCCCATCTCATGTTACTCTTGGTCATTCTTGATGTACCAGATTCCTGCCTTATCTTAGTTGTATCCTTAGCCATAACCTGAGACCCCTTCTCAGGTAAAAGCATGACCTAAGCCCTGCTCTCTGTAGTAAGCCTGCCTGTTTTACCTTCCTGCTCTACCCAGCCACGTTGCTTCTACAACCTCCATACTCCCACACCACTGGAGATGGGTGGGGTCAGGTGCATGAAATTCCAGGAATGATGAAGAACAACCCTCTGGTTCCGGAATCCTCCTTCCTGAGTTGCTACCTATGCCCAGCCACCTCCAGAATACCTGTGACCTGGATAGAGAAGTCATGTATTTTATTATTTTAGCATCTTTTTCAGAAATCTGCAAAAATAATATCAATGATGAGTCATTTTAGATTAGTCAGGTGAGCCAAGATTAAGGTGACTGAGATACCTTAACTCTGAGGGGTGGTTGAGGAATTACAGCGCTGGGCTGACTGGGTGTGATGGAGTCTCACTTTAAACTTGCCATAGTGTCACAAAAATTAGCATTGTATGGATGCATAAGGATCTGCATCCAGACTTTGAGAGTGGTTTTTAAATTTTTATTTTAAATTTTTATTTTAAAACATAGATTCATAGGAAGTTGCAATGGACAGAGAAGCCCCATGCACCTTTCATTTAATCTCTCCCCCATAGTTACATTTTATATAACTATAGTACAATTTCAAAACCAGGATATTGACATCGGTTTATGTGTTTGCATAGTTATTTGTCATTTTACCACATGTTAGATTCAGGCAACCACCACCACAGTCAACAAACACACAATGATTTTTATCACCACAAAGGTATCTCTTGTACTATACCACTTTATGATCATGCATCCCTCCTGCCTCCCCCCATCCTTAATTCCTGTCAACCACTGATCTGTTGTTTATCTCTATTATTTTATCATTTTGAGAATTTTCTATACACAGAATCATAGAGTAAGTGATCTTTGGAGAGTGGGCTGTTTTTGCTTCACCTTTTTTACTCAAAATAATGCTATTGATATCCACCCAAGTTGTTGCATGTATCAATTGTATGTCCCTTTTGATTGCTGAGTCGTAGTTTGTTACATAAATATACCAGAGTTTGCTTAACCATTTGTGCATTGAAAGACATGTGGTTGTCTCCTGTTTTGGGTCATTACAAATGAAGTAGATCATTCACATTTAATATAATTATTGAAATGTTAGAAACGAAGTCTGTCATTTTATTTTTTGTTTTCTGCTTTTTCTCTGATGTTCATGTCTCTATTTTTTCCTGCCTTCATCTGCGATTTGTTAAGATTATACTTTGATTTATCTATAGTATTTCTGTTATATTCTATATGTAAAATATTTTTGTACATTTTAATTATTTGAGGTCTCTCACTATACGTGTGTAACTTATCACAGGCTACTCACATTAAGATTGTGCCAGTTTGAGTGAAATGTAGAGATGGTAAACCTTTTAAGTCCTAAAATCTTCTTTTAAGTCTTTAAGTGTCTGTAATATATGTCTCTAATTTTCTTAAATGTTTTATTTGTATGTATTTTAGAAACCACATTGAATATTTTCCAGAGTCCTTTCACGTACAGGTGGCCTAAAGCAAACAGAGGCAAAATGAATTTAAGAAGCAAATCAGTGGTTTGACCAGTACAGGAGAGCCTGGCTCCCAGAATGTTCCCTTTGCCACTCTGTCTTCTCCTAACTGGGAGCTTGTCCTCTTCAGAGTCATGTATTCCTATTAACTGATCAGTCTTCAAGTTTTTGCCATAAGTTACTCTAGGAAGATATTGAGTATAACCTGGGGAATCGAGACACAAGAGGCTGAGGCAATCGCTCCAGGCAACAGAGGCAAAACACAGCAAGGGTATGGCCATACCAGGTCCCTAAGGTCATGCCTGGCTTTTCAGAAATGGTGATGATTAGGTTAGTGTGAGTATCTATTTGAGGACAGAGAAACCCCACGTCTTTTTCCTGTGAAGTATTTTTAGGCCTCATAAAGGTGACTGAGGTATAAAGAAACATTAAGATCAAATCTTTTCTTGACAGAAAAATAAGTAGAATTCAGAAAGTACTTCCTAACTGGTCTCAATCTCCAGTCTTTGTTTCATTCTACTTCCAGCATTTTATGTCTAGAGAGATGTCTAACATGTTACCTTCTGGGACAAATCAAGCCCTCTGCTCATTTATTTGTCAATCCTGATGAAGTTAAATGCCCTTAAAACCCCTTCCTGAGACATGGTGGTAAGAGGAAATACATAATAAAGCACCCAGAGAAAGGATGACAAATAAATGTCCACCAGCCAAGCAGTTGGCAGCATTTCCAGGAGAAAGATCTTGAGGACCATACTAAGTGGAATGACAAGTGTGCTGTGAGGGACACGGGAGGGTATGGAGAAGCAAACTCACTGAATTCAGAGTCTTCCTGGGGACAAAGACGGGATCTGTGACCATAATTATTTTGTTAACTTCTTTTCCTTGGCGATCCTTTTGACTATCTAAGGAGGAATATACATTCTAAAAGAAAGTATCTCTAGGGGGTGGAATTGAAATGGGAAGTATCTATATCACTAGTCACCACTCTCTGTCTTGGTCATACATCCCCCAAATGGATTCTGTACCTCCTGGGTCAGAGATGAAGTGACTAAAACAGTAGGTTGGCTCCCTTATGAACATATCCAAGGCCCCAAGTGCCATTGGTGCCCCTTGAGGCTCAGGCATGGTTGTCTCATCATGGTTGGTCCCCTCATCTTTGGAAGAGCTCGTATGTCCTTTTGGACATTAAATGAGGGGAAAATGTGAAGGACAATGCTCAATGCTAGCAAGGGTGCTGTGAAATGGGTCTTCTGCTCTATTGCTCTATTAAATGTATGTAAACCTTTTATAAGCTACTTAATGGCATGTATCAAAAATTATTTTTAAAAACATACCTCTCAACATAGTATTTCCTGTAATGAAGCTATGTCAAGTAAATAATCCAAAGTATTCGAAAACATTTTAGTCATACAGACTTTCATCACAGAATGATTTCCATAAGTGCAAAATTGAAAACAACTTAAAGATGCAATAGTAACTTATAATTATATATAATCATAAGAGTAATTATTTTGCAGATGTTTTAAACTATGGATATTAAGACCATGTAACAGCATGGGTTTCAAAGCAGGATAGAAATGTCATGAATACTGTAATTTTAACTACATATACAATATATACAGAAAAATAGCTATATTATTATATTTTTACAAAATATATACAGAAAAATAGAAATCTGCCAATATGATAGTTGGCTTACACTGCAGAATGATGGATACTTTCAGCTACTGAATTTAATACTATGTTGTGATTCTGTTATTTTTATAATGGAAACATTTAGCAAAGGGAAAAACTAAAATGGGAATTTTGGCTCTAGATCTTCTAAGATTTTAGAAATACAATAAGGTTGTCATGGCTAAGCATTACAAAAAGAAACAAACAGCAAGGAGTGAAGAAATGAATTGTGCGTCTGCTATGGCTTACAATGTGAGAAAAAAGCTAAACCCACAAACACGGAAGATGCCTCTCAGTGCTTCCCATTGACCACTCAGCAAAATATGCCACTAACACAGGAAAGTCTTGAGAAGAAAAAGCCTCCCTGGAGGTAGATTCCTTGATTCTCTTATTTTAGGCATATAAGAATGTGAGTGTGTGGTACACAGTGAGACCAGAGAAGATTCTCAGCTATTGTGAGGATTCAATCTACCACTGTGGTTTCTACCAAAATATCTAGCTTGAGTGGCAGCACTGCTCAAAGTAGTATTTCAACTTTGAAATGCACCACACTCCAGTTCTTAAGGAGAACTGACTTCTGTTGGATGCATTATTCTATGTGCTAACTGTTTTAGATCCACAGCAATCCTTGGAGTTAGGTATGGCATTACATCCTCTTTACAGATGAGATAACTAAAGGTGCCCAAGGAGATGACAAGTCAGAAGCAGAGCTATCATGGACCTAGATCAGTCTGTCTCCAGAATCTTTGACTTTTCTCTGTGCCTGGTCAACCCAGCATATTACATAGCCCTGATCTCCAAGTCCTCAGACAATGATGTTTTGCCCCATCTTCTTTTAGCTGGTCCCTCCCTCAGCTTGCACAATGCAAGCCAAGCTTCCCCAACTGGACACGGTCCCTGAACCAAGGATGGTGCCTAGTAAGGCACCTGGTATTTATTTATTGAATGCACAAACCCATACCTGTCTCCACTCTTTCCTTCCTCTCACAAGGGTCTGGAAAAGCACCGGACATAATAGGATGAGAATGCAACTTCATTCATTCACAGCCAGTTAAGGTTCTGCATGTTTAGCTGAGAAAGCTCCTAGAGCAAATTACGCAAGCACAGTTAAGAGAAACAGTACTGCTTTGTGTCCAAGAAGCTATCTGCCAGTACTTAATGATAATATCTGCTCATTTCTGTTGCTTGACTTTGTTCCTGACCCAAGTTCAAGGGCTCATCTACTTTCTTACAAACTCATACTCTGAGATTCTGACCCACAACATTTCCATAGAATAAGCTCCACGTTCAGGAGCTGGTGGTAGGTTCTGAAAGGCCAGTGATAGTGATAGTAAGAAGGTGTGGCAACATTAGTTGCCCTGGCCACAGACTGTAGACAGGAGAGCTCTGGGGCATAAAAGCTACAGATGGCTTTTTCTTGACTCATCATACCTATATGTGTAGGTATGTGCATGCAGAGAAGAGAGAAACACATAGAATGGCAAGGAACCAAAAGTCCTTAAGTCAACACAATCACACATTGAGGAAGTAGGGAAGGTGTTTTATAGGCTTGACTAGAAGAGCTCCTGCAGTCACAGTGGAGCCCTCAGTGTCCTGTGGATGCAGCCCACTGTCCTCTTCCCTCCCTTCTCCCTTCCTTTCCTGCCTCGAGGTCAGGGTCCCAGTCACCTCCAGTCTTCCTGAGAGTCCTTGGCCATGGAGTTAGGTGAGACCAGACTGGAAAAGATGGCCTTTCTTGGTGTCATTGTGGCCATGTTCTTGATCTTGTTCAGCTTGTCCCGGTTGAGTTGGCATTTTCTCAGGCAAGCCCCACACAGCTCCTTCTCCTCCACCAGATGCAAGTTCTCCAACCTTTTGATGGAATCTATGAATGTGTCTGTGTCCTCTGGCTTTGGAAAGGGATTTCGCTTTATATTGAGCTTTTTCAGCTTGGGGAGCTTGGAGATACTCACAGGAATGGTGTTCAGCAGGTTGTCATGGAGTCCCACCTCATGAAGCTCCTTCAGAGCACCCAGTGTGGTGGGCACACTTTCCAGGTGGTTCAAGCCTAGATTCACAGTGCGGATGCTCTTGAGTTGATTCAGCTCCACAGGCAGCCCGTTTGTTGTCAGCCTGTTGTTGCTGACATTGAGGTAGAGCAGGTTGGTCATCTGGCCAATGGATTCGGGGAGCTTGTCTATGTAGTTGCTGTGCAGGTCCAGCCATCGGAGGTTCTGGAACTTGGCGATTGAGTCAGGGATCTTCCTGATCATATTCCGGCTAAGATCGAGCTCGTCCACATCATTGAGTCGCAGAATACACTTAGGGAAGGTGGTGATTCCCATCTTGCTTAAGTCAAGGCGTTTTTTGCCATCGAAAGTGACTTTGATGCAATTCTTGGCCACACTGAGGGTGATCTTTTTGCCTTTGGGCCCTTTCCCGCCCTTGACCATGTTCTTTTAGTAGATAGTACGTTTGAAATGTGTTATTCTGATTGGTTGTTGATCAGTGTGAGGAAAAAGTCACATAAAACTGCTGGAAGATAGACTCTGCTATAAACAGAAAAAAAAATCTAGTTAGGAGATAACATAAAGCCACTGGATTTCTCCCTGCCCCATCATGATGCTTTACTCTCTAATGGTTAAAAAGAGAGACAGAGGATAATGGAGAGAAATCAGGGCATCAGCAGAGGTAATCAGGTCATAGATTTTTAGCAAAGTGTATGCCCTCTTCTGGCTTCAATTTCCCCTGATATAGGATGGGAGGGGCAGGGTTGACCTGAGGGAACACTTAATGTTCTCCTAGCTGTGCCATATCCTTACTTATGAACTCCCTTGTTGGCCTGGGCTGTCACATGTGCTCCTACCCAGGGTCACGTTTGGTTGCACATGAGTGTGTGTGTGTTCTTGAATACCTGCCGCTTTCTAGAACCCCGTGTAAATTGATTATTCCCTCAAGTTATCACACAAGTTCCTGGTGAAGGGCTGCTAATTCTCAGAAGCAACATAATCTGGATCTGAGGAAATAAGGTTGGCATTAAGACTGACTTATTATTGCCTTGAAGATCCAGAGGAACTAGTCAGATCCTGGCTACAGTGCAATGCAAGAGGTACAGAAAAGCCTGTTGCTCAGCCCAGGGGTGTCAGTGTGCTGACACTGCATCCTACAGCACCATCGCTCTTCCCCATGAGCACACAGGGGACCAGGGGGGAGCCTGGCAAAGCTCACAGAGAATTCTTCCTTTTCCACCTCCTACCCTCTTCTCACCTTCCCTCACATCCTTCACACTGAATTCAACTGCAGATTCTGCATTATAGGTGTGATAATAATTATAACTGCCACCATAGAAATAGAATGTAGATGTGATATGGGGGAAGAGTCTGGCCTCCACATGCTTTGCTTGAAAGTCCAGCTCTGCTACTGGCAATTTTCTTAAATTTTCAGTGCTTGAGTTTCCTAATTTGTAGAATCAGCCCCACCCCATAGAGCTCTGAGGAGGTGTACATTATCTAATGCTATAAAGCATTGCCTGGAGCATAGCAAAAGCTCCATTAATATTAGTTATTAAATGTTGTTATACAATATTGCTTCTAATCCTCAACAAGATCCACAATATTTTGCCTATTGTAGAGATACTGAGGTTCAGAAGTGAGGAAGATCTGCAGCCAGGAAGAGGATGCAACTGTTTTGTTCTGGGACCCCATTTCTTTTCAACAACTCAGTGCCTTTGGTTTGCTGATTTTCTGATTTTAGCCCAAGATTCCCAAACCAGGCAGAAGCATGGCACTGAGAGACAAATGTTTGCACATTGCCTCCATTCCCTGCAGGGGTTGGGTGAGGAGAGGTACTCTATAGTTTCTGTACTTCATCATCCAGACCCCTTATTAGAGTCAAGTTGATATAGCACATGAGTCTCCAGTAGTCAGGCTGTGTGGGCCTATTGTCACATGTCTCCCTCACCCATAAATCTTGAGTGTCAAAAGGAGATGTGTAAAGATGGTCTTCCTCATGCTTACGGTAAATCCCACTATTACCACCCTTCGCTGAAGACCAGAAGGTCCTACTCTGTGCAAGTTCTACAGGGTCACAGCCTCCTGGATGAGTGGTGGTCTCCATGATAAACCAATGAAAGTTCTTAGCTCTCAATAGCATCATTGGTGATCTTTTGCATAGGCCTCGTAAGCTGCCCCTATTTTTTAGAAATGGTGAACCCACCACTTTCAGGTATAACCGACTGTTTACCAAATCCAGCACTATGTTCACTAGTATGAAAATATCTATATCATTCAACTTTGAGGAACCAGGTGGGATGAAGCAGCTTAAAAAAGAAAGCTGGAGTTTCCGTTCCAGTTAAGATGGAGTAATCATGCTCTGCCCTGCCTCACCCGTGGAAGCAACTAAAGACCCTGACAGGGCTGGGCGTGGTGGCTCAAGCCTGTAATCCCAGTACTTTGGGAGGCTGAGGTGAGAGGATTGCCTAAGCCCACAGGTTCGAGATCATTCTTGGCAACATGGTAAGAACTTATCTCTACAATAAATCAAAAATTAGCTGAGCATGATAGCGTGTGCTTGTAGTTCTGGCTACTTGGAAAGCTGAGGTGGAAGGATCATCTGACCCCAGCACATCAAGGCTGCGGTGGTTGTTAGAGTGCCACTGCACTCCAGCCTGGATGACAAAGTTAGACTCCAGCGCGCGCGCGCGCACACACACACACACACACACACACACACACACACGCACGCACATAAAGGCCTTGGCAGAATTCATAGAGAAGCTCTCAGGACTCTAAAATAAATGGAGTCAGGCATATAGAGAAATAATTTACAACTCAAAGTAAGACCAATCTGGGAAAAGTTTCCCAAATTCTCCCCTTCTTCCATTCGACCTTATCTCTTGGCCTGAACACAAAGACAGTCCAGAACACAAACTTTGCATGAGTGAGGAAAGAAAAATTTCTGATTTCCAAGAAGATCCTCTCTTTCTGGTCCAAGGAACAGGAAACGGAGCTTTATGAGGCAGAGATAGCGGAGGAAATAATGTTTCACTTTGTTTTCTGCTTCTCGCCTACCTCAGCCCCAGGCAATCCTGCATCCCTGGCAGGGTCAGTCAGATAGTCACCTAGAAGCTGAAGCAAGAGAACTGTTGTCTCTGACCAAATTGTGGTCCCAGGATCCTAGGACTGGAAGGAGAGAAGGGTAGAGGTACTACTGGGAGCCAAGAAGTGTTAGGGAAATTAGAAGAAGTTCAAGAAATGTGATTCTTAAAGTAGTATAGGAACTCTGGACTTGTCTTGAGCTGTTTCTGCTTTAAAGGCCTTTTAAAAGTCCTGCTTAAAAATACGCACACACACATACACACAGAGTCTTGTGCCACATAACAATATTTTTGTCAATAATAGATGGCATATGCAACAATGGTGCCATAAGATTTTGATACCATATTTTTACTGTACCATTTCTATGTTTAGACACATTTAGACACACAAATACCTACCATTGTGTTACAACTGGCTACAGTACGCAGTACAGCCATATGCCGCACAGGTTTATAGCCTAAGAGCAATAGGCTATAACCTATAGCCTAGGTGTCTAGTAGCCTGTACCATACAGGTTTATATAAGTCCACTCTATGATGCTTGCACAACAATGAAATCACCCAAGGACATGTTACTCAGAATGCATTCATGTCGTGAAGTGACACTTGCCTTTATCTACACCTATATCATCAATGTCTGTATCTATATATCCATATCTCAGAAGATGTGGAAAAAGAGTTATGGTGCAGAAAAATATTTGAAGTAAACAAATGGCTGAAAACTTCCTGAAGTTGGTGAAAAATATAAAAATCACAAATGCAAGAAGCTCAGCAAACTCCAAATGGGATAAATAAACTCAAATAAATTTATACTCAGACACATAATCAAACTGCTCAAAATTAAAGAAAAACTTGAAACCTGCCAAAGAATAATGCATCATCTACAAAGGAACAGCAAGATGAATGACTGCAGTTTCTCATTAGAAACCTTGGAGGCCAGAGGTATTGAAAATTGGTTTTTATAGTGATGAAGGAAAGGAAGTGTCAACCTAAACAGTGAAAACATCCTTTAAAAATAAAGGCAAAATAAAGACATTCTCAGGTGAACAAAAAATAAATGGTTTTGCCACTAGCTAAGCTGCTGTAAAAGAAATGGAGCAGAAAGTTCTTGAGATGAAAGGGAAACCATACTAGAGAGAAACTTGGAATTCTGGGGATAAAAGAAGAGCAATGAAAATGCTAAATATCTGAGTAAATATAACTGTAGACTATTTCTCTCTTCTTAAGACCTTTAAAATATGTACGCAGTTGAAAGCAAAATTAGTACCACTCTCTGATGGAGTTGTCCAAGTAAGTAGATGTAATAATACCTATGACAGCTACAGCATAATAAGGGAAGTTAATGAGACATATATGGTGAAAAGGTTTTTACATTGCTTTTGAAATGGTGAAATATTATTTCTAAGTAGGCTGTGAAAGTTAAGTATGTATATTTTAATACCCAGAAAAATCACTAAGGCAATATACAAATATATATAGTTAATAGAGCAGAACTAAATCTATAATTAAAAATTAAAGTTTTTAAAAGTCAAATAGCACAAAAGAATGCAGGAAAATGGAAATGAAAGTAGTAAATAGAAAACAACTAATAAAATGGTAGATCTAAATTGACCTAAACACACCAATTAAAAGACACAATTACCAGGCTGGCTTATGCAAGAAATAGACCCAATTATATGTTATCTATTTTTAAAAAATCCACTTTAAATAAACATAAGTGAGTTAAAGTAAAAGAATAAAAATGATATACCATTCAAACACTAAGGGAAAGATAAGTGACTTTATCAATATCAGACAAAATATATTTTAGAGCAAAAAAAAATCTACCCGAAAGCAAGAAGATTATTACTTATTAATAAAATGGACACTTTATCAAGAAAACAAACAAAAAATCTTGGGTATGAACCTAACAGCAGATACTCAATATAAATGAAGCAAGAACTATTAAAACTGAAAGGAGAAATGGATCTATTTACAACTAAAGTTGGAGACATTTTCTCATCTCAGTAATAAATAGACCAGATAGAGAGAAAAACCAAGGAACAAGATTTCTCAACCTTGGCTCTACTGATATTTTGGGTGAGATAATTCTTTGTTGTTGGCAGGAATGGGGTGGTAATGAGAGGAATGACTTGTCCTGAGCATTGTAGAATGTTTAGCAACATAGGGCCAGAAGATTCTATCTACTAAATGCCAGTAGCTTCCCATCAGTTGTAACAATCAATAATGTCTCTAGATATTGTTGAATGCCCACTGGGGAGCAAAATTGACCACAGATGAGAATCACTGGTATAGAAGAACTGACTATTGCCATCAACCAACTGATCTAACTGACATTTATAAAACACTTTACCCAGTAACAGCAGAATACACCTTCATTTCAAATGCATATGGAAGAGTCACTAACATAGACTATATTCCGGGTCATGAAACAAGCTTC